TAGCCCTCAGTAACCTGGTGTAGACCCTGGGGGTACAGCGTGGACTGGGGTCTAGCCCTCAGTAACCTGGTGTAGACGCTGGGGGCACAGGGTAGATTGAGGTCTAGCCCTCAGTATCCTGGTGTAGATGCTGGGGGTATAGTGCATACTGGGGTCTAGCCTTCAGTAACCTGGTGTAGAGTCTGGGGACACAGCGTGGATTGGGGTCTAGCCTTCAGTAACCTGGTGTAGACCCTGGGCCACTGGGTGGATGGATAACTGCCCGCAGACTTGTCACAGTGTAGAGTAGTTGGATAGGCCAGTCCTGAGGTTTTGTCAGCAGCCATGACACTTGGGGGCCGGCATTAGAAATCATAAAATGAGAGTCAGGAACACCCTGTGGGGTTTTCTGGGACCACAAAGTTTCAGTGAGCCTGGGTCTCCTGAGTTCTATACCTGAAGATTTGTAACTGAGTCCTGAATCCCGCCAGGGGAGGGGAGTGTCTTTGTCTGGGGCGGCTGGAGTGAAAATGCCCAAAATGGGTGACTTTCAAGAATGGGACTTGGTTTGTTCTTAGAGTCTGAGACTGGGAGTCTGAGTTCAGGGTGATGTTGTGTGAAGCTGCCAAGTGAGGGTGTGTCCCTGCCTCACTGGATCCTGGAGACCCTTGTGGTCCTGGGCCTACGGCTATGTCTGCCTCTGTCCTCACACAGCTGACTCTCTACTGTGTGCGGCTGTGTCTTTCCAACACCTTTATGGCCACCTAAGGAGCTCTGGTAATGTAGTGGTTACGAATTGGGCTGCAAACTGCAAGGTCAGCAGTTCGAAACTACCAGCTGTTCTGTGGGAGAAAGAGGAGGCTTTCTGCTCCTGTAAAGATTTACAGTTTTGGAAACCCTGTACAGGGTCGCTATGAGTTGGAACCGGCTCTATGGCACATCACCACCACCAACCATGGGACGGAATCAGTTTGACAGCACTTAGCAATAACAACAACCGTAATGGCGGTGGTTGGCGCCCACCTGCCCTCCTTGGAGAACAGTGTGGGGGTCTGCTTCTGTGGCGATGTATGCCCTCAGAAACCCCTACAGTGCACTTCTGCTCTGCCGCCATCTGTTTGACCACAGCGGACAGCTGTCCCTGCTCCACTGTGACCTCTTGCTAACCAGGTCACCCTCACTGGTCCTGGGCTTGCACGCCTTTAGGAGACATGGTGAACCTTTAACAGGAGACGTCTGCCAGCTCCAGTCTCTGGCAGCTGCCTTTCCACTCAACAAGGAATCTTGCCCGGTGCCAAGGTGAGAGGACCATACAGCCTCTCTAACTCTGTTCAAACACAAGCCCTGATCCAGCTTGATCATGTGGAAGCAGCTCCTGCCCATGCCTGTACCCCCCTGTGTGCACTGTCCTCCAAGACGTGTGGCCACACAGACTGGACCAGGCTGTGTCCCACCCTCACGTATTGTGTCTGAGCCAAGAACACTCATCCCAGACCTTTCCCTGGACTCTTTGCTACGGATTTCTTGGTTTGGTTATTGTCCTCCTGTGGGCAGGTGGCTTCTTGTTGTTATGTGCCGTGGAATCGGTTCTGAGGTTGTAAATCTTTACAGGAGCAGAAAGCCTCATCTTTCTCTCACAGAACAGCTGGTAGTTTCGAACTGCTGACCCTGAGGTTCGCAGCCCGATTCGTAACCAGTACGCTACCAGAGCTCCTTGTGGAGAGGCAGCAGTCCTCACTAATTAGCAGTAAAAACCTCCATGGAGTCGATTCCCACACAGAGAAAGCCTGTGGGTCAGTGGAAGGCTCCTCACGGTTTCCAAGATGAAATCTTTACGGAAGGAGGGAACTTCAGGTCTCTTCTGCGGAGCGAACATCTGGTGGGTTTGAAATGAACTTGCTGCCGCCAGGATTCTTCCGTGAGCTTGAAAGACGAGAAACGATGGTGTCCCTGCACAGTGCTCTCCGGTAAGCTGGAGACTCCAGTCCACCCATGGGTGCCTCACAAGAAATGCCTGGTGATCTGCTTCCCTAAAAGCAGCTGCTGAAAACCCCATGAAGCCGCTTGACTGTGGCACACGTGGGGTGTCGCGCTGACTGGATCCCCATGGGGTAGAGGAAAGAAGTCCTTCTTAACAAGACCTCATCCAGACCTATGCATCCAGATTGCTTAAATGAATTAGGAGCAATGATGGAATGCTCTTTGATTCACACAATGATATATTTCCAGAAACTCTACAGCAGCAAGGAAGAAGTGGATGACAACCGGGCAGTGGTGTGCGTGCGTGCGTGTGTGTGTGTGTGTGTGCTTAGTGTCCTTTCCATAGTAGCATATCAGGAAGTTCATTTTTAACTGGAGATAAATTTTATAAATGAACTGTAAGATGTTTAGTAAGAGATTTTGAACTCAGCTAAATGGCTTGTATCTCCTTCAGAACCAAATACACACTTTTTAATTTCTTTCTTTGTATAATGCCCTCCTCCCCCCACCCGAGACAATGCATAGTCTAGTATCCATTGAAATGCTGAAAACTGACCACAGTTGGTAGGTTTGCTCACTGTTCCCGTGCCGTGTGTCTTGGGAGCAGCTGTGAGAATGTAGCCAGCTCGCTACCTCCACTTTGCAGATGAACTTTTCCACAACTCTCCCAAGGCCATACAGCTGGAGGTCTGAAACCCCGCTTAAGCTTGCACCTTGTGACTCTGGTACCCACCTTGCATCGTGGGGTCCTCATGGTGTTCCTCCGAAACAATGAAGACATCACGCTCCCTGAAACAGGATCAGCTGTGGTACACCCAAGGCCCCTCAGCATCAGTAACTGCTGTGGCTTACACTTTGAGCTGCTCACCACAAGATTGGCAGTTCAAACCCACCATCCACTCTGCAGGAGAAAGATGAGTCTGTGTCTGCCTATACAGGTGTATTTTATAGTCTCGGGAAAAGCCCACAGGACACTGGAACTCGTTTATGTGTGTGAGAGACAGAGAGCAGGGAGCATTGCATTGACCAGCAATTGCTCACACTTCATTTTTCCTTGTGGCTGACCCTTGGGGTGTGGCCACTGGACCTGT